TCCCACATTAAAAAGAGAGCACCTACTTTGCTCTCCCAATTTTTTAGACTTCTGATTGCCCAAGTTTCCAAATCACAGGGGACCTTTTCAGTTCTTGCCTCCATCTAGTACAGGGATGTCAAAATCATTATAATCAAGGGTTACATTAGCCTTATGATTGTCTTCAATGGGCCACTGAATTCGTGGAAACAGGGGGTCAATTATAATTTTTAACATAATTTTCCAGTTTTGGTGCCTAGATATTATTAAACAACAGCTCCAGTCACTTTTGACTATTCACCTTCTGGCCTGGGGATAATGAGAATTGCAACCAAACAGCACTTGTGGCTTTGAAATTAGGGAAAAGTTAAAGAATGTGTTAAAATCAGACTCATATCCACAAGCCTTGTATCTAAATCCAAACTCCACTATCCTGACTAAACAGAACAGACTGCAGCCTTCCAGGTGTCACTGTATCAGCTCTAGTTATGTCTAATGAGGATGTCTAATATAGGAATTATAGTCCAACCTCTGGAGGGCCATATAAAATTACATGGTGTTCCTAATTTGGCCTGCTGCCTTGAGTTTGACACATATGACCTAGGACATACTCAGCAGTAAACAGGTGTGTCTTACTTTCTTGGTCCATAATCGTGTAAACTTAGAATGTCCAGAGAGATGTTATATTGTAGAGAAATCTGTATGCTTGAGATAAAGGGATTTCCATACATCATACCTTTAGGTACTCTGCTTTAAAATGCACCTAGCACTTGTCTGGGCTGCGGGATAAAGGAGAGCCAAAACAGAATTTTTAGATATTCTGTGACCTTGACACATTTTCTAATTTTGTTTCAGCATCTCAGCAGCTTGTGAGCAGGGCTCCTTGTCCAGTTCCCGGATGCAAACTTGTCGCTGTCAGCCCTGTTCAGACGAGAGCGTACAATGTAGGACCTGCAGTGTTTCCAAGGAGGATATCTGCCACCCAGATAGCAGCTGAGCTTCTGCACACTCAGGGTATTAAAGGACTCTACAAGGGCCTTGGAGCCACCTTGCTGAGGTGAGGATGGTGCATCTTCCTTAACTTTCTTATTTCTAGAGACAATTTTTCATGCAGCTTTTTAAAAACGGAATTACTCCTGTCTTCTAGGGATGTCCCATTCTCTGTCATCTATTTCCCACTGTTTGCCCATCTGAACAAGGCAGAACAGGATTCCATGGAGGAAAGGGCCCCTTTCATCCGTTCTTTTCTTGCTGGTTGCATGGCTGGCTCGGTGGCAGCTGTCTCAGTCAACCCTTGTGATGGTAAGAGATGTTCTAAGTCTATGAATAGTTCACAGTGGTTTGTCCTTCACTGTACAGTAGTAACGTTAAATAATAGGGGAATATAACCTTCTTGGCAATTACTGTTATCTTTGTGGGCTTTTTTGCAGAGAAGGTTCTAGCATAACATAGCAGTTCAGTAGTTAAAAAAAGAAGTCCAATGTGTTGTAGATATATGTTCTGAAAGTTGCTTGCATTAGTCTTAATTATCAATTATCAATACTTATGTTTTGCAGTAATAAAGACTCGTCTCCAATCAATGGGCAAGGGAAGAAATGAGGAAAACTATAACGGAATTATTGATTGTGCAAGGTAAAGCATAAAAAATCTTAACAAACATTGTGTGTTAATTGAGCATTCAAGATAATTATATTGTATTACTTGACCATTTAACATAACATAGTTAAGGCAACCATAGAAAGCAGCTGTCAAAGAGTCATGAGCTAAAGTGTTGTCATATACAGTGTTTCTTCACTTATCATGGGTGTTACATTCCAGGACCACCCGTGATAAGTGAAAATCTGCGAAGTAGGGACACTATATTTATTTTAATATTTATACATTAACCACAAAACAGTGGGTCCGCAAAAAGCAACCCGCAAAATAGTGAGGAAACACTGTAGAACCAATTTTCATCAGTTTTTATATGGTGTGATTAAAATCTTAAATGGCAGTAAATCTATTAAAATTGCTGACATTTCTGAAAGACTCATTTTTATTGGATGAGATAAATGAATTACAGCTGCAGGAGGGGATTGTTTGTTCATTCTCATGGCAAGGGCATGCATTTAAGATATCTGGAAAAATATTTGATATATGGACACAGTAATGTTGGGGTTATTTGTGGTAAATTTGTGGCAGAGTTTTGTAATTCAAAATGGTTCTTTGTCTTTTTGTCTCAATCTTACAGGAAGATATGGATGAAGGAGGGTCCCTCCGCCTTTCTGAAGGGGGCTGGGTGCAGAGCACTGGTCATTGCACCTCTCTTCGGCATAGCCCAAGTTATTTACTTCATTGGCCTTGGAGAGTTTCTTATAGATCTATACCAATACAGAAGGCTTTCCCCCTAAACTAGTCTCATTCATTGAACATAAATGCATAGTTCCACAAGAATGACCAGGAGAAAACTATGGCAGCTCAGGTTGACTTACCAATATTTTTTCTTTTGGGAAATTTGGACACAAAGGTGACTCTTTTAGGCCTTTTTCAGTGTTGCCAGATTTTGCAGGCAATGTGCCTATGCTCGGTTGTTTCCTGGCAGCAACGTTGGAATTTTAAAATCAGAATTATGGTAGTAGGGCAGACACCTGTAAGTGTAAGTAGTTTTGGAACTGAGGGACTGAAGCCTCTGAGAAGGAAACGGTGGCTTCTTTTATTGAGCCTAGCCATGAGGATGAGGGAGAATTAATACTTTTTCAATGTATAAATGGAACAAGAAGAGAAATGCTACCCAGTTATTGTGGGCCAAATCTTTTGGAATTCATGAGAAACAAACTGAGCAATTGTATTTGGGGTTTTATAAATGTTGTCAATCCATCCTGCATACAGACTTGTAATATACTAACGTATTATTTAATAAAATAATCTCTGCTGTTTCATTTACCAAATGTAAATTAGGGAACAATATTTTTAACTTTTTATACATCCATTTTTATGACTTTATATAGATTTTAAAAATTGGTTCCTTTGGTGACAGGCTGCAAAGTAACTTAAGAACAACATGTATGTTGTATGAAAAGACAATGAGGTAGCTACTCCCAAAGTTTTGTATATGGAGAGAGCTACGAGTGCAAAGGTTCTCGGAAATGCTCTTCAGAACATTATAGCTCTCCTGAGTATTGGAGGGTTTATCTCCTTATTGTAGATACTGTTCAGCCACACTGCTATGCAGTTTTCTTTTGATGGTTGTAACATTTATGTGTTTTGGTAACTTTATTACTGCTTTTATTGTTCATAATGAACTACAGAATTTCTTTGTTACTGGGCTCATCTCAGAGACTATCTTCAAGGGAAAGTGCCAATGTGGTCTTTTGTGAAGAATTCTAAGCTGATTTCTGAACACTCAAATTTATGTAAACAGTTCAAAAATTATCATATTTTTGCCCTTACCCTGGCATAATAAAAAGGCTCAAACTAATACAATTCTCTGCATGTTTTGTCTTTATTGTCCCTTTTTGAAATATTCTTTTATATTTATCATGACTAGGACTGGATGTAAGTCAGGTTATTTCAGTATCTTCAGTGTCTTTTTATATGTTTTAATGTGCTTAATCTCATTTACATTTTTAATTGAAATGTTTATTTAATTGTATGTTGGATGTATATTGTTTTTAAGGCATTGAAGAATTGCCTATGCTGTAAGCTTCCTTGAGTCCCCCTCGGGGTCGAGAATGGCAGGATATAAATATAATAAATAAATAAAATTTCCCTTCTATTTGTATTACCATGTGTCTTCAAAGTGATTCCAAAGTATGGAATCACACACACCCACACAGGATTTCCTTGACAAGATTTATTCAGAGAAAGATTGCAAACTTTCTCTGAGAGTGTGACTTGTCCAACATGGTGGTTCTCATGTTGAGTGGGGGATCTGAATGCTGTTCTCCAGCATCCTAGTCCAGATGTTACCACTACACCATGCTGGCTGTCTCTATCCACATTCACATCCTGAAAAAATACATCCTGGCTTTACTTGAATTAACTTGTTAGGTTAATTCAAGTAAAGCCAGATTTCTGAAATACCCCATCAAGCAATTATTATAACTCTATATCTGGCTACAGGGATATCTGGCATGTAATTATTCAGCAACCATGAAATAATGGAGAGGATGTCGCTGCAGTGGTTTAAAAGGCATTGGTCAAAAATTACAATCTCCACAAGGCCCAAAATAGACTCAAATGCATAAGGGAGACTTACACCTCTGTATGCCACTTAACAATATGCCAGCCAATCTGCAAACAGATTGTTATGAAGAATTATGTGAAGGGGCATAAGGTGATTACAACCGTGATTTTCTCCCCCTGACTAGTCCATGTTAAGGTTTTGAAAACTTGCTAGTAAAGTAGATTCTGTAGACAACCCAAATGAAAGCGAAATGGGCTACAACTCAAAAGCCATGAAGAACATTTTTCAATTTGATTCCTATCAGAATGTTTCAGAGGAATAAAGTTTTGGCTCTTATCTTGACAAGCATCCTTTTGAAAAGCATAAACCCTTTCTTCCTCTCAGCTAGATATACCTTAAACTAGTATAAATACAACTTACAAATGAACACAAGTAGCATATTTTAAGCAAATGCTAGCTTTTTATTAGAATATACTTTATTAGACTTTGTACCAAAGAAAACTAAGTGCATTGTGAAATTCTGAACTAATGTATTACATAACATGAGATTTAACTAGTATGTTGCATTTAATGGAAACATTCTCTTGGCTACCAATGGTCATTATGTAATCTTGATATCACAGTAGTCTTGGCTGCCATCAGCATTACTGTCTGGTAACATGATGTGGCAGTGCTGGTGTTTATAACTAAGCAATGGCATAAAGGACAATAATATGGGAATTTGCAATATTTACAATACAATTTGCAATATTTACAATATTGCAATATTTTTTCTCAAAAAAGTAGCCAATTTTGTTTCATTTTTGAAAATTTGACAGAACAATATTCAATGTTATCTTATTCTTGGCTGACAATAATTTGCATTGTGTCACAGAGTGTAGGGCAGGGGAGAGGACTTTCCAGGGCTTCATGGGTTATATGACTGCTGGGAGACAGTGCAGTACTCAGTGTGGCTTGCCTCCTGGATGCAGTCAGTATAGTCAGTATTGCATTTCCCACACTTGCAGCTCAGTGCCACAGGATAGGTATAGTAGGAAACAGCATGATGCTGACAGCCAGGGATCATCACGGTCCTGTACACCATGTCCTTGTAGGTACACACGTCCTGGGTCAGGGCACTTCTGGGCAGCAGCTTCTTACCATTGCTATCCTGTAAGAGAATGTAAAAGATATTCCAGCTCTCTCTGCACTTTCATTTAAACCTGTTGCTGCCATGTACTGTCTGGCAGTATTATCTCTAGTTTTCTTGGCAAGATATATGGAGAGGAGGATTGTCATTGATTTCCTCTGAAGCTGAGTGTTTCAGTGGGTTTAGAGGTGCTTTGAACCCTGCTCTCCAAGACTCCTAGTCCAATCCCGAAACCACTTTACCATGCTGGTTTTTGAAACCTATGTTTGTTTGAATCTAAATCATTCCTTTAATGCACAGAAAGCAATTTCTCAATTACATGTCCCCTAACTTGACTCACATTTTAATTATTGTGGAGCTGAAGCAAGAAAGGCCGTTTATCACAAGGATATTTCTTTTTGTCACAAGAGGATTTTTCTCATGCAATAGCACTAGCTCTCTCATGGGGTAGGGGCAGAAGAGCCATACATAATTTTCTACTGGTAACACTCCCACGTAATACTCCCGTGCTTTTTCATTAGTGTATGTGAATGTGTGTGTATACATACACACACACATACTAAGGAGAGGAAGATGCAGTAGTTGCACAGTGTCATCTCTCTAGGAGCACCCTAAGTCAAGATTGAGTACATCCACATTCCTGATGAATGTATGGCCTTCAGTTCATCTCCCATCTTGATTACCTGGTGTGATCAATAGTGGAAAGGGCAACGAGGATGAAATCCTAATAAACTGTTTTGATTGTCAGGGACTCTTACCTGAAAAGATTTATCTGAATACTGTGGTTTGGGTCTTATTTGAAGACAAATAATGTCTGGATGTTTTTGCCTACAACTCCTACCAGCTGCTTTCAGCATGGTCAGTGGTAAGAAACTGTGGGAATTGTGGTCTAGAACTTATGAATAACCATATTCCCAACTTATGTATATAAAAACAAAAACAAAAAAGTACTCAGCATCCAAGGGCTCACGTACACTACAAAAAATTATCTGGGTGTAAACCAGTATTTTGCCCCATAGCAGCACCACACTATTGGCAATAAAGTAATTCAAAGTCATCTTGTTGTTCACACAATTCCCCTGTCCAAAATCTAATTCAGTGCCATGTTGTTGTCCCCTTCTCCCTGGAGCTGCCACTGAATTCCTGGCAAATCAGTGGTGGAGGCAGGGGAGACCATTAATTTTTCTTTCTCCTTAGAGTCCCACTTGTGATGGTATTCCTCTGGCCTCAGAATGACACACCCAGCCATATGTGATTAGGAAGAATGTGATAGCAGAGACACTGAGGTGGATCAAGCAAACCACCCCCAACACTGATCACATGTGGCTGGGCACCTTGTTCTGATGCCACAGCAAGCCAACACCAGAGTCAGTGGATGCTTTGCCAGGGAAACAGCAGTGGAAGACCTGAAACCAGTAATGAGGGAGGATTGGTCAATGAATCCTGGCAAAAACACAGTATTGGAGAAACTAGGGAGCAGGATGTGAGTTCAAGAACATCACATTAAAGCACAAAAAACCCTTCCATTGTTAAAGGGGGCCTGCACCATGTGTCAGAAATGAGATCAGTACTGTCCTCTTTTTTTTTTAAATCAGAATTGTGTGCAATGAGTAACAGAGCCTTTCTAGAATTTCAAGAGGACATTTGTTGCACTTACCATTTGGGACCTAGCTATGTAGAAGATGTATATTGCCTCACAGGCACGGCTGGCGGGGACGAGGGATAGGGCCTTCTCGATGGTGGCCCCTCGGCTGTGGAACGCCCTTCCCACGGATATTAGACTAGCTCCATCATTAATGGTATTCCGCAAAAAAGTGAAGACCTGGTTGTTTGAGCAGGCGTTCAAATAGTCAGTGCAATGAGTGTAATGAACATAGGAATGGAACAATGGATGACGGACCTGGATCATGTTTTTAGTGATGAGACGCTAGTGAATGGTTATTGTTGTTAATCTTATATTATTGTATAATGTGTTATGATGTTAACTGTTTTTATACCGTGTTATTGTAGCATTGAATTTTTGCTGTTCTGTTGTTAACCGCTGTGAGTCGCCTAAGGGCTGAGAACAGCGGTATACAAATAAAGTAAATAAATAAATAAATATTATACTTTACCATTTCTCAAAGTTTAACCGTATCCTTTACTTCATAGCAAACAAATAAAAAGTATACAATCCCTCCAGTGGTTCATGTGGGGCCTCTGTTAATGGTTATCAACACAGATCTGGCATCAGAGTCAGGCACCAATTTCTCCTTGGTGTTTTTAAAAGATCATTCATCCTGTCTCTTTCTCCTTTACCATCTAATCCCTCAACTATCTTTTAATTTCTCCTAACAGTTTTACAGTTCATTGATAATTATATTCCATACTTCTTTTTCTAGCTGAACAAAGAGCCTATGCCCCATTGCTGGCTGGACATTTACTTTTTTTTTTCAAAAACCTCATTGATAAAGTGATTTTCTTATTTTTCCTTTATATATTTCATCTTTTAGCCAGGCACGCTTCTACAGAAGTTTTGGCCCTTTGGTCAGACATACCCAAGAACAATCTTTGAACATATGGTGTCCCGTCCCCCCAATTTAATCTGCTGCCATGACATAATAGTTATCAGTATTTTCTTCTTGTTATTTTATATCTCATTTACTCCAGATTTATTTATTTATTTATTTATTTATTTATGCTAGAGCAATCATTTCTCACCTTTATGCCTTATTAATTCTGTAACTTAGTTTGTTTTTTCTGAGCCACAGTTCCATCCCATCTCACTTCCTTTGTGTGCCAGCTCAGCAGTGATTGTTTCTTTAGACCAGGAACAACAATCTATGAATTCATTCTCCTATGAGATGAAACTCTAACCTGCATTAGCTGCTTGACAACTAACAGTACAAAAGAAATCCCACATAATCCAATGCAGTGGTAAAATTCATTAACTGGATTGAAAGTGACTCCAACTTTCATGAATCTCATTAAAAAGGGGGTAGTGGACTCTTGGAATACATTCTGATCAACAAAAATAGATTTTTGGAATGTAAAAGGACAGACCACTGTGGACTGGGTGTGAAAGTCTTACAATAGATTGGTCTTCTGGGACCAATTTCAAATCTCTAAAAAGTTTTTACCACATTTTTTGTATTTTCTACACTGGATTTAACAGGCCTTTAGTTTCTTGTTCTTTATATTACCTAGTTCATCTGCTTAGTCTATAACTGTCGGCTAACACATCTCTTTACAGCTCCTGAGCTACTTACTGTACTTATTTCCTCCTTACTTTTCTGTTATAACTCCCTGTTAATGGCATTTACTTCCTTCTGATATGCACAATGACTCCCAAATTTCTTTTTCAAAGCTGTTCTAGAGTGACTCATATAATGATTTCTCATGAGTTTAGTTTCCCTCTTTTCTCCCTCTGGATCTGCTGTGATCTGTTTGAGTCTCACCTTACTTTTTTTGAGAGCCAGACAGAAGGAGCTGGCTGTACTTTGGTTAGATCTGGGACTGCATCTTTAGGTGCTTCTTGAAAAAATAAGAACCATAATTCTTGCTCTACATAGGCAACAGCTAAGGTTCTAATTTTGTCAAGTATGGGCAATGATTATGATTCTTATAAATATTGTGTGGTTACAAAAGTTATCCCATGATGTCATATTTTTTTATTCCCCTCCTCCCCGTTATTTATTTATTTATTTATTTATTGTATTTGTATACTGCCCTTCTCAGCCCACAGGCAACTCAAGGGGGTTTACAAAGGCAACAATTCATTATGCTTATTAAAGAAAAAGCATCAGTTCACAACAGGAGACAAAGTAAATATTATCAGAAATAACTGATCAGCATATTGCAATAATGTACCCTGGTCATGCAGAATCCTTCACAGATGGTCGTGTTGATAGCCAGACAGTAGGCACACTCCCTCTTCTCCACATGGATGACATAATCAACAGGGATGCAAAAGGACATGCTCTGCCCCAAAGTGAGGGCAAAGAAGAAGGGGAGAGCGATTAAAAGAGCAAGATTCATGCTGGATGTAAAGACAAAGCAAATATGCATTAGTTATTGTGATTATGGGGTAAAAATAGATTGCTCCCTATATAGTGATCTGGTACACTCATGATGTGGCTTTCCTGTCTCCATCCCCCAAATACCGATAATTCAAAATGCCAATGTTTGACAGCCCTGCTTCTCTATTCAAAGGTTTTTAGGCCATCGGCTAGGTCACACTGCACTCACAAGGAAATTTATAAACTTATAAAACATGAAAATATAAGTACAATTTAAACACAGAGAGACACAAGCAGCTAAAAATATTAAATTATCGAATGCAATCTGACTTGATGCTCTTTTTTCCTACATTAAAATGGGGTTCATCTTATCATGGGTATTTTTAATATGCATAAAGCTTTTTTCTGTTGGTGGTACTGAAATTAGTGTGCATCTTACACTTGATGGTGCATTAACATTGAAGACATGAAAGTAATTTTGTATTTTATAGATTTTTTAAAAAAGCAGAAGCAATGAAGCTATACCTGTCTCCATTGGCGATCTAGATGTCCCATAGATGTGGGGCCACCACTAACAAAGTCCTCCTTCTAGTACCCTTCCTCCTTTCTGGCTAATGGCTTTTGCTGGTCAGTCCAAAAATAGGACCTTTGGCATTAATCATAAGGTTGGGATGTCCAAATGATTAACTTCCTCCAGGTATCCTTCCTAATACATACATCAGTGAAGGTGAAAATCTGTATGGGGAAAGCTTGGACTTCATCACAGAATTTGTAGTTTAGGGAGGAGCCTTTAACAGCCTCACTTAACTACAAACCCAGAATTCTACAGGAGGCAGAAACCAGATTTAAAGTGGATTCATTCTCTAATGTGATGAAGAACCAAGTGTTTTTTTTCTTTTGGGATGCTTTTTTGTTTAACTTTTCATAATACAAAGAATCTCTATGTCAGGCTGCTCTTTCTTTCTTTTTCTGTTTCCATCATCATGAGTCTGTACATTGGCAATGTTGAAAAATTGCACTTGATCCTCAAAATTCAAGCTTTCGAAATAAAAGTCTTTCTTCGTTCTTTCCTTTTTTAAACAAAGAAGCAAGCAAAGTTGTGCATTTTTTCTTTATACTGTACAAAGAAGCCTAAACTTTCATGTGGTTAAAGAAATGTGGAGTTAGAAATAACCTTGGAAGTCATTTGATCAAACTATCTGCTCTATGAAGACTGTAACTACAGCATCCCAGATACATGTCCATCAATCCTCTATTTAAACAATTGTCCATGAAAAAGAACTTTACATCTCCAAAGGAAGGCTGTTCCACCATGAAATCTCTCCCTCTCTCTCTTTATTCATCTATCCCTCCATTCATCCTCTACCTTTCCCACAAAACTATGTGTTATAGTTAAGAAACTTTTCCTAACCTTTGCATTGGAGTTCAGCTAATTGTTTCCATTACTTTAGCTTTGTCTGCTGGGGCATCAGAGTCTGCTTCCCATTCTGCATGACACCATGAAGGATATTTGAAGACAGTTTTCACATCTTCTCTTTATGCTAAATATTTCCAGTTCTTTCATCCATTTCTCATAGAATTTGATAACAAGTTCTCTCACTGTTCTGTCTGGCTTTGTCTGAATGTGTGCCAGTTGATACATGTCTTTCTTCAAATGTTGCACACAGAATATGACACCATTATTTTTTAAAGCAACCCCATTGCTCTCATGCTCCATACATCTGCTCCTGATGCTTGGGTCCTTTTCTTATGTACTGCTCCCAAATGAAGACTCTCCAGTTCTCTAAATCTACCTTGGAGATTTTGCATCTAAATATAGAACTTTGTATGCATTTTCTCTTGTTCTAGCCTCTTTTGTTTTGATCTTGATTCTATCTTCTGTAGCTAACGCTCTCAATATAATATACTGCTAATAGAGATATTCTAGATCAAAGAAGTGTTCAGGATTTGGAACTTATGATCTAGTAAAACCAATGTTTAAGAAAAGAGGCATCTTACTAAGAGTGGCAAATCAAATTCTGACACACACCGAAAGCACTAATAATATAATGATCCCCACTGGCTGAAATGGTCACCTACCCAAACACATTATGTTCCCTGGGGAAAATACTTAATAAACCTGATATGAAATGGAGATCACAATTTACTAAAAGCTGGACATATGCAGTCACAAATATACACAAAATCTGTGATTCTACCCAGTTACTCACCTATTAGCCTTGCAGTGATACTGGATCATGGAAAGACGGACCAACCTCTTGGCAGCCAGCTCTTTCCCTTCATGCAGGAACCTGAGTATGCATTGAATGTATTGCAGAGGCAAGAAGCCTAATCCAAGCTCAGAGTGCATTTATATCCTCTTGGCTGATCTACCTGTTTATATAATTGTATTAATTACTTCTCTTAATCTCTGTAACATCTACTGAAGATTCATACTTGACCACTAAGGAAATGAGATTGGAATAAGCAGAATATAATATCCCTGCCTAGCAGCTGAATCTCACTGCTAATTAAATTCATGCTAATTCTTAATTTGCTATCAAATAAAAAATGTATATGTGGATTGAAGAAGCACCCTTATAGTTCAGAAAATATATGTCAGGAAACAAGAATGGACACAAATCAAAGCTACTAGAAAAACCAATGAATGTATTTCTGAATTATGTTTGGGGACGTACAATAAGCTGTATGCAACTTGTTGTCTGACAATCAGGCAAGACAAATCGTAACCAATTTGGAAAAAATGGACAAGCTTTATAGGTAGCTCTGGCCATATTGTCTGACTGGGAGCTATGCTAGTTGCATGTTTATCATACCGAACCTCCATACATTGCAGGTACTCTTTGTATAAGGGCTCATGGAGTCTATTACAACATAGGTTGCATAGTTTCTGTTATGCTTTTGGTACCAACATGCCTTGAGTGCATAAACAGGGCAAGAAATTTGAATTTCATGACAAGGGTTGATAGACACATGAAGGACAGTACAATCACACTAAAAACCATCTGTCCACAGATTTCCAACTGTGCAGTAACTACAGATTCAGTTACTTGGTGACCGTGCAAGAAACAGTTTTTGATCTTCATTCTGTTAATACTTCAGTCACTAATTATATTATAGTAAAGCACTTTAGTGTCTGTTGGTCTAACAGCCCACCCAGTATTATATAGTCTTATGGTGGGGAAAGGGGAAAGATAGACTGGCACCAAATAAACTTACCAATGAATTCCATCCCATAACCAGGCACTATTGCAGAGAAAGCCCTCTTAATTGACCTCCTGCTATATTTCAACCCAAGAAGGAACACACAAAAAATTGAACATGTAGCACAGGCAAGTTGATATGAAAGTAGATTACTTTCGGATTATATCTAACTCCTAAGGTTGCAAAGCATGAACTTTGGAAATGGGCTCAGACAATTATGGACAATTAATGAAACTCCTTTAAAACTGGAGAGACCAATTTATATACTGTGTGCATTCTGCTTTACACCTGTCTCAGATACACAATGGGGAGTCCACATATACTGATGAGGAAGTGCCCTGGAACTGTTTGCAGTCCACACAACTGGCCAGGCCAACTGTACATCTGCTCTGGTGTCCTGTCTGCCACCTCTGCTTTGTTAGTCAGAAGCAAATCCCCAAGAGAGCCTTGCTGGTGAAATGGCTTCTGGTGAGGTCACAACAGGGTGCCTAGACATGTGATCACCAGAAGCGATATTACCAGGAAGGCTCTGCCAGGAACCCGCTTCTGGGTGGTGAAACAGTGGTGGATCTTTGACACAGGGACACTAACCAACCTGAAGATGGATCCTCAGCTGAAACAAACATGCCACAGCAATCTGTGCAAGTCCCTGTAGAGGGAGCTGAAGCAAGCACATCTCAGCAAACTACAGAAGAGTTCAACATACCCAAACACCTCTAGAGCATTTGTTAGAGCAGTTAGGTCTCTGCAAGTCTCAGAGATTAACTGAAAAACTCTTGTTAATCAAGCAGGATCTGAGATCTTGCAGTAATCAAGTGACTCTTTTACTGCAGGCAACATCATTCTCTGGTTGAATCAAATGCCTCTTTGCTCTTGATCTAAAACCCGACTCTGCTACTTCCCAGTTTGTTATCAAACAACTTTTGACTTCGACTTCTGGAACTCTGCATTGGTGTCTTGGTTTGTTTGCACTTTGTCTTTCTGACTTTGGAGCAGACTTCTGGATATTCTGTTGTTTTCCAAGGATTATTGTATCTGGAATCACTGACTTTGGACTGTTGAGGTTGGCTAGCTTCCTTGCTTCTGGTGTTTGTTTCGACTTAAATACCTACCCATATCATGATACCTAATTGTTCTCCAGCTTCACAGGTGGGTTCAATTGTAAATTTGTTCTTTTGGGGGAATGTAGAAGTGGATGATTACCATGTCTCTGGAACCATGCAGCAGATGGGATTTTGTATGTGTTTATTTTGCTCAGCACTTTCCCTGATTCCATAATATACTTTATGGGATCATCAGAGCTGAAAGATACAGAACTCAACCAATAACTCATCCTTCTTGATGGAGGTGACATCTAGAAAAATACCACAAGGGCTTCTCAGAATTCTTGACAGACAACAGTAGGCTGTTCTCATATGACGTACATAGGAAATTGCCAGATTCTTCAGGCCAAAATATTATCTGTAGGTAAAATACTATTGTACATTATGTGCAGCCCTCAACTGTAAACACACTTTATAATATTAATCAGCTCATTTGTGTGTAAATTTTATCAACTACCAGTGATTCTGACTGGTACGTCACTGATGAGCTAACTGTAAATTTGGATGAGCTGCTGACTTACTTGATAAAATGTTTATGTGTTATGCATAACATGCTTAGATTGGCAAATCCCTTATGGTCACTATCACATCCCAGCTGGAAATGTTTGAATAATGTTTAGAAAAGCATATTCATAAAGGAAAAGATTAGAAGAGCTGATACGTGGCTCAGTCTTCTTTCCTTATTTTGAAATCATTGTAGACAACAATTGCA